ACCAAATCTTAAAAATTTAATGACAAAAATTAAAACTCAGAATAAAATTAATCACATGGCTATCAATATCACTTGATTTGAAATTTAGGGTTATAATTTTAGGGTAATAGATATATACCTTTGATTTTGATTCACCTTCAAAAATAATTACCCATATATATATATTGTATAGTATATATTATATATTTTTATATTTTTATATATTATTATTTTTCCAATATCAAAATAGAATATAAAATTAAATAAAATAATAATATTTGATTATTCAAGTTAATTTATTTAATATTGTTTAAAATATAATAAATGTTGAATAAATTAAATAATTATTTATAATTCTCAATTTTAAAAAATTTTATTTCTCATTTGAAATTTTAAAAATAAATAAAATATATCACATTTTATCTAATAATACAATAAATAACTTATAAACAAATAATACTAGTTTAGATAATGCTTTCTTATCAATAAATAAATTAAATTATACCAAATATTTAATAAAAAAATTTTTTTTCAAATTAATTATATAATAACTAGTATTATATTATTTATTACTCGAGACAAAAAATTTATTGATAACGGTTCCTTAATCATAAAAATTAGATGTAACAATATTTTTGAAATTTTCGATAAGATAAAATGATACTAATGTTTGTTCGTTCTAGAGAATGATGCTTATTTGGGATTTAGGTGTCTAACATACTGGTAAAGCTTATGTGAATTTGGTTTCCATAATTACTTGAATAATAAAAGTTGAATACGAATGTTTTTTTTTTTTAAAAAAAAAACGATAAAACGATAAATTCAAAATTGCCCTTTTCGACGGACAGTCGTTACCTGTTCACTTTTTGTGATTATAGGCCATCGTAGAATCAAATTCTTGAAATATTCGGATATCTTCGATAAATCGATTCGCATTCTGAAGTAGCCATCCATATTAATGGATATCCGACTCCAAAATGATAGCATCTACCAAGGGGATTGAGGTAATAACTATATCATTCATCAGAGAGGTATTGCATTATAAGTTCTATAATAATCATCTTTACTCAAATCGATGGAACCATTGTGGAGCCTCCACTTCATCTTTAAAGGTACCAATTCCTTGCGGGTCCTTAATTCTGCAAGCCGCAATATAAATTATAAGAACACCGATGGTCAATTGGTGCATCAAGGCTATATCGAAGATAATATGCGAGAATGAACATTGCATCAACGTTTCTATAATATTATAATGAAAGACCATCAGTACTCTGAGGAGGCTTGAATATACAAGTGTGGAATTATTACCCCAAGAATACGACGCGTTCATAATAATCGAATGCACGTGATTTGTTAATTTCGACGCCAATACAAATTTGAAAATAGGTGCCAAGTTAGCACGGACTTGCCGTGTCTTGCCATCTATTTTCCAAATAAATATTGACCACCTCTTTACATCTCTGAAAGCTAATAATAATATTAAAGCGTTGATTAAAATATGAAAATTTAATTTAAAAATAATAACATTTAAGATTTATATATACTTGTACATTTCAGTGCCGTGCTGAAAGCAATCCACCTTATGTTTTACACGTGTTGAACCGAAATTTGTAAATCGTTAGGAATTGGTAAACTCATACTCAAAATAGATGTCTATTTGTTGAGAAGGCCTAATCGCATGATCACGAGTAACCATTTTTTCACGGTTCACTTCCGTAGATGGCACTATTGAAACATTTCAAAGAAATTTTGTTAAGAATGTAGTCGATGTTGAATAAGTTTTTATTCGGAATGGTGGGTCAAAACAAACGAAAACACAGATATTACCAATATCGCCGTATGATGCTGCAATAAATGGGACATTTTCATTAATGGTATTACTTTTGAAATCATTTGGTGGATAAATAGGGTTTCAGCTTCTTCATGAATTTATTTTTACAACTCTAAGTTGTGAAAATCGATAAGTTGTAAGGAATAAATCCCTTCTTTCTTTCGTATTTGTAGCGATGGTGATGGTTGAATATTTCTTTGTGGAATGTATGAGTTAAGTTGTCTTCCATCGGGGGGAAATTGCCGATTACATTAATTGACTGGCAAGAATGTTTCCTGACAAAAATATGGAATAAACAGTGATCCGAGACACGTTACGTTGGTTTTCCATAATTGGATCGAATAATTATCAAGAGAAAGAATTAAGTTGGTCTTTGAGAACGTATTGGTATCATTCACAAGATCGTAAATGAGACGAGAGTCTCGAAGAACGAGAGATGAATAAAGGATCATTTTTTTATAATACATTTTATAACTTAAAAAAAAAATTTTTTTTTTCATAATTTCATTGTTATAACAAAAACTAACGGATTTATTATACTGCATAAAGAATTCGTGCCGTATAGCGCAATCTCATGTACCAGAGGATTGTGTACCTGCAAACCTCTAAAACAAAAGTTAAATCCATATATAAATTAGTTGAAATCAAAACTATTAAATATTAATGTCTTTATCTACGGGAGGTTTATCATATTTCTTTTTTTGGTCATACTCAAATAAAGAATGTCGGTTATTGCGGCTTAGCTCAATGGATATTTATACGCCTTTCACATCGAGTATACAACAAAACGATCTCTTTCAGAAACGCAAAAATAATTATTGAATCCTGAATCATGTGACCTACAAAATGATGTTTCCTTCTTACCGTTTATCCGTTTGGAAATCCCGGTATTCAGTATTTACATAAATGTAATGAATGTACTTATTATTATTTTTTAATACGTTATAATTTAATGAAGTAGTTTGATTCCGTTACCAAGCCAAAATGAACAGACAATGAAGCCCCATTTTTAAATAACCATTAACATATTAATGAAAACTTATACAACTATGCAAATAAGAATTTAGACTTACTGATTTTAATTTAGGTACGACCATATTTTTTTTCAATACACAAACAAATTTTTACATTAAAATATGAATTAATTATTGTTATGTTATTATTTTTTTAATGTATAATTAACAGTAAAAAAATAAATATTATTATTTTCATTGATTAAACTATTTAACTTTTATATAATTAATTCTATTGGTTTTTTTTTTTAAAGAATATTATTTATTAATATTTTTATTTTATTTTGGTTTTTTTAAAACTGCAATCAAGCCAATATAATATGTATATTAAATTATAATAAAGAATTACAAATACACTGTATATATACATATATTACTTTTAATAAAACTACTTGTAGTATTTTATTACCTTTTTCAAATAACAATATTATATTAAAGCTAAACTATTTTCTCATATCAAAATATCTTTTTTTTTTTTTTTTTTGCCTCTAATCAGACTGCAAAAGTTGCATTTATTCATCCAATTTTGGAAAACAGTAGTAC